TCAAACAGAAATGAACGTGACACATGCCACTTTGGACGACCTGGTGTCAAACATTACACAAGATGAATTTCTCAAAACAAACAGCACCCTTACAAGCGCTAATAGAATGATTCCATGAAGTGGGCCCATCGTTGAATAGCCACTTGATAGCTGGTGATGGGAACCCTGTAGTTTTGATTCGAAAGATGACATCAGATCCTTCTTGCTTTCTTTGATCAGTAGGTTTGATGCTGATCACTGGTTTAACTATAACTAAAGACAATAAATGCTGATGATGACTAAGACACGATAAGCCTGCACAAAATAGATAAGTTTTTTCAGACTTACATTGAAATGACTGAATTGATGACAATTAAAATGTAAATCGATGAGAAGGAAAAAAACAAAGGAAATAAGGAAAAAACGGAAACAAAGGAAGGGAAGGAACGAAGGTATGAAGGACGGATGAAGCAAAGAATGATAAAAGGATTGAAAGGAAAGAGAAAAAATCATATGTTGATGTTTTTTAAGAAAGAATTCAACTTTTGAAAAAATGTTGTGTTCACTAAACATAAGGGAAATTTGTCAGACTTCTTAAAATCTACGGTCCTTCACCCAAAACACTAACAGCCCGAAGTTTCACTACATAACAAGTATTTGGACTCAGGTTACTGAAGAGTAATCCTCGTTTTCCATTATTACGAGATAACATGCTCATTCGTTTAATTGGGCTGAACACGAGACGGAAAACTATAAGATTTCGTAGAATTTCACAGGATTACGACTGTTGTTCTTCTGGTGGGCTGAGGACCACTGCATCACCACTTTTGGTGTTGTTTTTTAAGACTGGCGCAGGAGGAATTTATGCAAATTTGAAACCAGATCTAGAATATCTCACACGCAAAAATTGGTAAAAATCATTTGTCAGCAGCGCAATGGACGATATAAGCAGGTCAATTGGCCCTACTTCTAAATTCAAGCAGTGATTTTAGCTAGCCAGCGCATATTCGGATTAAAAACTGGAACTTCACTTCCCCTTTCATACTAATATCGAGAATCTCATGCACTCCGTTTCTGGCGTTCAATTTGGCACAACTGACCGATTTAAATAAATGCTAAACATAACATCAATAAAAAATATTCTCTTACCATGAACGATAAGTGATGCAGAAGTGAACACTGTACCGGCCTTGCTGGTAGCTACACAAGTATATCGGCCATCATGTCTTCCATGTCTAACATTGTTGAGGATCAAATAATCATTATCTATTGAATGTTCCCATGGGATTGGATCATCATTGAATAACCACGTGATATTTGGCTTGGGGAAACCTGCAGGTTCACATGGCAAGATGATAGTAGTTCCTTCCAACACTTTTTTATCAGGCAGCTTGAATATTGGTGCTGATTGGCCTAAAAATAATCAAAGGCGGTATTTTGAATAAAAAATAAATAATGGGATTAATTAACAGTGGATTCCACAGATGACAACCGGAAAGCCATCGAAGTACAGAGAGAACCAACAAGTAACATTAATCAATTACGACACCGAGCACAGCGAGACTCGAACCCGGGGCGTATCATTGAGGCGATCGCTGCTCTCACCGCTACGCTACTCTTGCTTGCCAAATCGAAAGGAATTAGGGGGCTGACTTAACTTCCCTCTGGTGTTTTAACGCGTTTTTTCTCGTTTATTTTCTTTTTCATCATGCAGATTTGTCTCCCAGAAATGAATGAAAGAACATTAGCAAAATAACGGCCAAAACTGGAAAGAAAGAAAAAAAAGAAAAAACAAATCAAATAGATTTATTCTAAATCAGTAACAGACCTTGAAAGGGAAATCTCATGTTCATCCAACATCCGCCGTTCCGTAACACCAAAATAAAATTGAGAAATCTAATATGACAGCTTTTAAAATAAGATGAACACCATTTAGCAATACTTTGGTGAAGATTATAGCACAGTGGAGTTCTATGAGTTTTTCATTAATAGTCCTAACCATTTTATCCAAAATTCTCTAAGGCTTAGAGTGAAAGTTTCAATTTGTCTTGACCTCTCATGATAAAATATAAAATGAAATTAAAAAGGGTAAAAAAAAGCTGATTTTTTGCACATACGTACCTGTTTCCGCGTAAAGATAAACACCGACAATAACGATAAGAAAGTTCCAGGTGGCTTTGACGATCAACTCCATGTTTCACTCTAGCTCGGCGAACAAAATAAAATATTGATTAAAATTATGCCTGCTCTCYTTAAACATTTTTTCYACAAATATGATATGGGTTTGAATAATAAAGCCATGATGAAAGATTGTTGTATATGTGTTTTAACTCGTTTTTTCTTGTTTGTTTTTTTMTCGYTTTTTTTTTTKKGGTGATCAGATTTGTCTTCCAGAATTGAACGAGAGAAAAARAMWAAARGGGGCAAGAAAAAGAAGGGGRRAAAATATAGTAWTTTGCCACATAATGACGTTMGAAAGAACGTTAGAGTGCTTATTTGCTTCGCTTGAATGAGATTGTGATAGTGTCTCCAAACCACAAAACTTCTAAAATTCTCCCTTGCCCCAGCAAATTTTTGAAGGGGTCACAGCGGTGATAGATAATCTCCTCATCAAAGTTACACGAGTTGTCATCATTGTGGCATAAAAACCCTCATATTGATCAGTATTGGTAATTAGCATGTCATGGTTTGCTCGGATATATTAATATGTGTAATTTGTACATGGAGGACGTTCTTGTCTCAGCTTGTGTTGACCTTTCGCATCGTTTCAGCAGGCAGGAAATAACTTACCAATACATTGAAAACCAACTATGCATATAAAAATTCTCATTAAGGCATTTGCTAAAGTTACAAAAATACAAACGATATAAAAAGGAAATATTTATCAAGGTAACTCTTGTTTTTGACTGGAATTCCTCTGCCATGGTGGCGCGTGACAAATCAGACTTCCGCTGCCATAAATAGACTTGGTGAATTTATCACCGGCAGAAAGTCCAGCCGAGTCCCGCCAGTCCCGGTGGGTACCCATACATTACCGTAAATCTTCTATTTAGTCCCCCTCCCACTTCTTACAGCCCCTCTTACTGCCACACTTTGTCGGTGAACTTCCTTTTCCCCTTAATTATTGGAAAGGGTTTCAAAGTCCCCTGCCCTGATCATAAACAAGAATAAAGTGCAGATTTGCTGCTGCTCCTATTTGACACGTGCTGCAAACAGCAATTGCTATTAAACTCGATCGGCTTTTTTCCTCAAACTTTCCACCGAACAATAGGGCAAACTTTTATACGTCATATGGCGCGCAAAAAAGTAAAGTAGGTTTTGGTCATTATCAATCAAGACGTTTTTATGACATTCAATAAGAGCTTCCACTTGGTAACTTTGCGACATGCCACTCCCTTAAGGATTAATTCTTTGCTCCAAGGTTGCGCATGAGAAGACACGAATGTGGATACAGATCAAGATAATGACACGTGGACTCAAAGAAAAAGACAATACCCCCAAGCAAAATAGGTCTTGTATTGATTCAGAGGAAGACGGCACAAACCTGAGGCATGAGGAACACATCGATCTTTCTCTGTTACTCAGGGTTTTATTAGCATCGACTTTGTGCAGCATCCAGGTGTTGCAGTGAAGGTCCTGTAATGCTGAAGTTGTGCATTCTTTACTTTACCGTGTGAATACTTAGACACTGATACGAGGCTAAGCCTGATTAAAGAGTCTGTAATATAGGAACACAGCGGTAATTGGGAACTTGAAAAAGGTCTTAACAGATTGCATATTAAACTTACAGACCAATATCATTATTTCAGAAAAAGGACCTTTCAACTTTCCCATATAGGAACCGGCAAGTACTCTTCCCCCACAGGGCTCCTTAAAATGCTTGACATTGGGAGTCTGTATCACGAATTACTCATAAGCACAAATATAGATACTATATATATTCTCTACTGTAATTTTAATTTTTTTTCAACTTATAAAGGCTCATATTCAAAAAAAAAATTTTAGAAAATCTTTAAGAAGCAATCTAGCTAATTTTTTTGTAACCAGGCCTGCATGACAAAACACAAAACTTGTTAGCATTGAGCCCGTGCATATCTGCAATGCGGTGTCGCGCAAAAACATAAAGAGACTGAAGGGCCTCACATGATTCTGCGAAATAACTACATGGAATATGTAAATTTTCGCAATTAGAATTCACGAGCGAAAAAAAGGTGATAACTTCACATGTGAATGTACTACATGCAATGGTATATTCATGTGCAAAAGAGTAAAAAGCTTATAGACTTTTTAATATTCACGGGAATAACACTTTTCCTCAACGCTAACAAGTTGCGCATGTTTACTTCGAGCTAATTGGCTAGTTTCCTCCGAGGGAATCAGCTATGTACCCCTATTATTGAATTATTAATTGATAAAAATCTTCAGCTCAAATGCTTTTCATAATTAAGTAAACAAAAAACTCAATTTACATGATTTTAGTGGCGCTTTCCCCTTTCGCAAGCATAAACGTGTATTAATTTCGGATAATTGCAGGCGTGATCGTTCCAATAAGTTGCACGTCTGCCACGAACATAAAGGTGTCCACAGTTCTCGTTGCCTCCAGCATTATTTGGTTCTCCTTTATCCCATTTTGAATATCGGCTAGGCAAACTTGTACCATCTGTCCAGCGGAACAATTCATCTGTGCTGACTGTGAAGAAATTAAATGATTTAACTAACATTGACATCAGGAAACCTTTTGCTAATTAAACAAATAAACAAAACATCTTATTGTTTCAGTCGCCAATTTTAGATCTCCTTTTGGCATTCCAATATCAATGTGTAAAAATCACCAAATTAAAAAAAGTTTCTTAAAATATTTTTTTAATTCAAAGAAACACCTGAGGTGAAATTTCTTTGGGTGAAATTCCCTAATTTCCACAACTAATGTAACTAAATAACTGCCTATCTACTTTCTCGCCTACTTACATTCTAACGCACCGTTATGCCTAATCATCTTCCTGATTACAAACGTACCTATTTGCCCATCCATGCACCTACCAAAATACGGAATCTTACATTATTTGTAAATTTTGCTGCTCTTCAAAATTTTATAACCCTACTACTCCAGATAATCTTTAAGAATTTTTGGAATTATACCATACAATACATGATTTTTTCAGATATTGCGTCTTTCCTTTTCTGGCATTTCAGTAGCATTAGGAAACATGTTTTAGATGGAACAATGTAAAATACTTACTTCTAGACAGTCCGATCCACATATATTCCGCTGAACTTGCTTCACTTGCCAACTTAGTCACATAGCGGTTCTCTTCCTCTGAATCGATCTTCACCAAGTAACCACCCATCGATATGCAGGATCGACGCGCGACGTCCCATTTTGCCGTACGGGTGTTGACAATACGATAACAGGAATTTGAATCTCGATATGTTTTCCAGGCACTGGGGCAGCCTCCTAACAATACGATGAAATGGAAAATAAAGAAAAACAAAAAGAAAAGATAAAATCGTGTAGTGTAGTACAGTACAGTGCAGTACAGTACAATGTAGTCTTGTTTGATTAATGTGGTGTTGACTAAAGAATTGAGTGCAGTTTACATGAAGGGTAGTCCAGAGTAGTATAGTGTAGTGTAATGCAGTGTAGTGTACTTGTAGTACCGCCTGATGTAGTGCAGTGTAGTGCAGTGTAGTGTAGTGTAGTGTAGTGTAGTGTAGTGTAGTGTAGTGTAGTGTAGTGTAGTGTAGTGTAGTGTAGTGTAGTGTAGTGTGTAGTGTAGTGTGTAATGTAGTGTAGTGTAGTGTAGTGTATAGTGTAG